CCTCACGCAGCATGCGCCGCAAGGGGGACCGCTGCGACGCCTTCGCGGACGGCAGCCACCCCGAGGCCGCCCAGCGCGGCACCACCAACGGCCGCCGCAACCAGCAGTCCCAGCAAAACTTGGTAGAGCTTCTTCATGCCCAGGCGCTTGGACTGCTGAGTGATGCGCTTCCGCTGATCCATGATGCGGCGCAGCGCGTCCTCGTCCCACTCCGTCCACCAGGCCTGCTCGCGGTCAGTGTCCACGCCCAGCTCCTCGCGGATGTAGTCCTTGACAGGGTCCCAGGCTGAATCTATATCCACAGAAGGCGACATGATGTATATGCGGGAAAAGCACCCCCTATACTGTTCCAGAGTCATTGAAACGAGGAGCACGGTCTTCCCTGTGCGACTGGGGCCCACCAGGACTCCGTTGGCTGGAAGCCGTGGAATCACTGGGTCGCGGGGCTGCTGCACTTTGAACTCGGGGGTCGGGAACAGCTTGACTGGGCCCATTCTTTACCCAGAGCGCCTTGTAGCACTCGAAGCACATGTTGCTTTATGAATTGCTGGCGGCGGCTGGTCCTGGATGACGTAGCGGATGCCAAGGGGGTCCATAACAGGACCGGGGACGGCATGCTGGACAAATTGTACATCAGAGGCCGTCATTACATGATTTCGACGTGGACCAGCACCCAGAAGTTGCGGCTGATGAGCTCAGCCGTTCGGGTGAACATCATGTTCGCCTGCGTCTTCCGGCTGCGCAACCGCCTGGAGCTGGAGGCGCTGGTGGAGGAGCTCAGCGCGCTGGTGGACAAGGAGACGCTCTACAGCATGTACGAGGAGGCCACCAGGGAGAAGTATTCCTTCTGGTACGTCAACCTGCTGGCGCCCAAGGAAGAGGCCTTCTGGGTGCGCTTCGAGCGGAAATTCGCCGCGGAGCCCGCGGAGCCCCAGCAGCCGGTAAATGGGCGGCTTCCTGTCGGCGGCGGTGGGCAAGCTGCTGGGGGGCGGGCCCATCATCGAGAGCGAGTGCAGTAACATCAGGTGCTGCAGCAGCAGCCAGCCCAACGTCTACGACGCGCGCCTGGCCACGCTGCCGACCACCTGGGGCCAGCGCGGCGTGTCCGATCAGTCCACGGCCAGCGAGATCTCCAGAACGCCGTTCCGCTTTCGAGCTGCCCGAGACGCTGCACATGCAGTCCAGCGCGAAGATGGCAGTCTACAAAGTTCGGATCGCCGACGCCTTCCTGTCCACCGATCGGGGCCGGAACCTCTACTGGATCGACCAGGCCCTGGGCACCAGGCCCTGGGCACCTCAACAACGCGCAGCTGCCCGTGGGGGCCTACACCGGCGCCAGGCTGGCAGCGTGGATATCCTCCAATTACGCCTCGGCCACCTACGTGGAGGCCCAGAACTCCATCGAAGTCGCAGCGGATACTTAGTGACGCCGAGCTCCGCGACCTCTTCCCCAACGGGCCCGGCTACCCCCAAGGGGCCTACGCCACCAGCCCGCAAAGCATCAACCACCTGCTGGGGGGCAGCTACATCGACGGAGCCCTCCAAATCTTCCCCTGATTCTCCATGAATCCATTCAATGAAGTTTTTCTCCGATCGAGGGAGCTGGGCAACGCTGCCCACATCCTGGGACCACTGGGCACCGACATAATCTGCAAGGTGATCATCGATAAGGGCGTGGGCCACGTCATGAAGGACCAGACGGACGACGGGCACCTGGTGGAGCTGCGGGGCCCGATCACCCTCCGCACACTGAATTTCCGCCTCACCGATGTGGACGGCAACGAGGTGAACACCCGACAAACCAGCGTCTCCTTCGCCCTCTTCCTCGACCCAGACAAATGATTTCCCTCCTTAAGGAAAAGCGGAAATGCCGGATGAGCAACAGCCCGACCAGGCTGAGAAGGCAGCACGCGCCCATCGAGTCCGCGGAGCGCAGGCACGCCGCCGACGCAGAGCTTGTGAAACCACCTGCTGGACCTGTTGGGGATCTTCCCGCAGTTCCCCCTCCCGGGCCTGCTGAGCCCATGGTGGCCGTGCCCGCTGCTGAGGGCGCCGGAGCCCCAGAGCCCAAGGCAGCGCCCAAGAAGCGCGGGCGCCCGCCCGGCAGCCGAAACAAGCCCAAGCCGCCGCCGGCGACCGTCCCCGCCGACGCTGGGGCAGGTGGTGAGCAGGTACCGCAGGCTCCAGTGGCTCCGGAGCCGGAGCAGCAGCCTGAGCAGCCGGAGCAGCCGAGCATCTGGGGCTCGTTCCGCCGCTCCAAGGGCATCATGGTTCCCTTTACACGTCCATGCTGTTCGCCATGGCCAGCTGCTCGAAGCGGTTCTGCTTGCTGATCTGGCGCACCCTTCTCATTTGCGCGGGTGTCAGGTACAGGGCGGCGCAGGAGCTTCTGGAAGCAGTACCCCTCNNGGGTGCAGCCGCTGCTCTACAAGCGGTACAACGAGCTCCCGGGCTTCCACGAGTGGCTTGAAAACCGGAGAATCCGCAAGGAGGGCGAGGAGTACGTCGACGCGGAGGAGAGGCGCGAGTTCGGCTTCAGGGTGAGGCCCAATTTTGGCCAGGTGCTGGGCTACATCCAGAAAAGGAGCCCATAACGCTGGAGCTCCCCAAGCGCAATGCTTCGGTCTACATGGCCTCGCATTTCTACCTCGACGATTTCCCCCAGAGCTCCGAGCCCCTGAGCCAGCCGATGCCGCACACCCACATCAACCCGGCCGAGGCCTTCGAGCAGGACGAGGGCTACTCGGCCGGCCCTTCCCCCCGGGCCCGCCCAGGGACATGCTGCGGCAGAGGAGCTTCTTCAGCGACAGCAGCAGCGACTTCGGCGGGGTGGACCCGGCCCAGGCGCTGCGCATGGACGGCTTCGACGCGCCCTCCGCGCCCGCGCTTGGCGACAGGCAGGCCGCCGAAACGGCCATCGCGGGGCCTTGGGCGCGGGGAGCAGTGGCTGGACATAGAAGCCTTCACCCAGGGCCAGATGGCCGAGGCCGAGGCCGAGGGCTTCGCCAGCGCCGCGGAGGCGGCCGCGTCGGGAGCCGAGGCCGGGGCGGCAGCAGAGACAGGAATCGGGGGTGCAGCAGCACTTCCAAATGCACCAGCAGCGGCAACGGCCGGAGGTCATCAGGATCGACTCGGACAGCGACTCGGCGCCGGGCCCAGCCCGCGCCCAGGGTGCGCCCACGGGCGGCCTGGCAGCCCCTGCCGCCCCGCGCCCAGCGGCAGTCCAGCGGCAGCGAAGGCTTGACCCTAGGAGGGAAAGCACTCCCGCGGCACGCCATGGAGAACGTCACCCAGGCCGTCCAGGATGAGCTCATGGGCTCCCTGGACTACAAGCTCGCGACCTCGAACGTCAATTACGTCCAATCCAGGCGCGACGTCCAATATTATCCATCTTCGCTCTCCACCTTCACCCCGACCACCAGCCGTGTGGCGAGAATCCCCCTCACCAGCGGAATGGACTTCATCGACCCCGAGAGCGTCAAAATAGCTTTCAGAGTTCGAAACACCGACGGGGCCGGGGGCCAGGTCTTCCCGGGCTCCTTCGAGGGCAGCTGCTTCATCAAGCGCATCCAGCTGTTCAGCAACGGCCAGCGCACGGACGACATCTCCGAGTACGGCCGCTGCTGCTGGCTCTACAGCCTGCTGAAGCCCCAGGAGTGGTACAACGGCCGCGCCTTCGAGGGCTTCTTCCCGACCAACGTCGGGAACCCGCCGCCGATCCTGGACGGGAACTACAAGGACGTTTTGATGCCCCCGACCCTCATCGGGCTCTTCCAGTCGGGCAAGATGCTCCCGCCGCAACTGAATCTGGTGCTGGAGATCGAGTTCGCGGAGGCCGCGGACGCGCTCTGGCCCGGCGGCGCCGGCTCCAACAGCTACAGCATCGAGAACGTCAGGGTGCTGGCCAGCCAGGTGACCCTGGACTCCGCGCTGGTGGAGTCCTTCAACAAGGTGCTCCTCAGCGGCCGCAGCCTGGTTTTCAGCTATCCCACGATGCACACCCAGGTCTCTTCCATCCCGGCCGGCACCACGCAGCATAACGTCACGGTGGCGAGGGCCTACACCAAGCTGATGGGCGCCTTCGTCACCTTCAAGGACGACGATGATGCCCTGGGCGAGGTGATGAACCTGGAGTACCCCGCCATCAACGGGGCTCTGGAATCCCAAAGGCAGCTGGGGGCGCTCCAGTACCCCCGCTACCCGATGGCCAGCCTGGCGGAGCACCACCACTTCTTGGAGATCATGGCGGGCACCTGCGATTCGAAGATCAAGAACATGAGACTCAACCGCCTCGAATACGAGGACACGCAGTTCATCGCCGCCTTCCCGGTGGAGCGCGTGCCCAAGCACCCGCTCAGCGGCATCTCGACCCGCTCCGGCAACCTGGCGCGCTTCACCTTCAAGAGCCTGCAGGCGGACCGTGCCCAGAAGCTCTACATCCACCTCGTCAGCTACCAGATCGTGACGCTCTCAGGCGCCGGGGTGAGCGTCCTGGACTAGGGAAACGATGAGCCTGTTCGAGAGCACCATCACCGGCAACATCTTCGACGGGGCCACCACGGAGATAACAGGGATAACCGCCGGCCAACTGGCCACCGTGCTGACGGCGTACACGCCGCTCACCGACACGGCCGCCAACACCGCGGCCATCGGCACCAACACCGCCGGAGTGGCCGCCAACACGGCCGCGGTGGCGGCGCTGCAGGCCGAGGTGGCCGGGCTGCCAGGCCCGCCCAATCTTACGCCCGACGCCCTGGCCACCGATTTGGCAGCCGCCGAAGGCTCCATAGCAGCCAACCAGTCCAGCATCACAGCCCTCAGCACCAGCCTCACGACGGGGCTGGCAGGGAAGGCCAACCAATCCGCGCTGGACGCGCTGCAGCTCGAGGTGGCCGCCAAAAGCACCCCCGCCAGCGTGGACGCCAAGCTGGCGAGCTATTCCAACACGGCAGCCATGAACTCTGCCATCACCTCCGCCAACAACGCCACCCTGGCCACCGTGGGCAGCAGCTACGCCCTGCGCACTGTCACCGATCAATTGGCCTTGGAC